TATGATATTGCTCCGGACCTCCTTCAAAATTCTTCCTTTTTTCCTGAAAAACAAACAGCTAGATCATCCTCATTTTCACTAAAACCTGTCAGGTCATTGCTTATGAAATTATCAACAATTGCGCCTTCACTTGAGCCATATATTGCTAACAAGTCATACTGGTCTCAAGATTTCTTAAAAATTCTCGACGACATTACGGATGCCGACAGGCACCTGGGATATTTACCTTCTAAGGATGGAGTAACTCCACAAAGTTCATCATTTGACCCCGAAGGGCAAGGTTTACTTCACGGTGCTATTGCGAAGTCCTCTTCTACTGTGGGTCTGTTCTCCTATTACCCGGAAGAATCAAGAGAAGAATCTCTACAGCCTAGTCAGCTCTCTTATGGCTCAATCGCTACTGCCGGTAATGAGTTAAAAAATGATGTGACTTCAATCTCTACCACTTCCATAGGAAAGCTTCCACGATTGGTTTACAACAATGAGGAATTGGCTGAGGACGACGAGGATGGGTCTGAGCTAAATGATGAGTTGCTACGAGCTTTTCTTATTTACTTTGATGGGTTATCTCATGCAGATGTCAACATGTCGGATGAAAGGCCTCATGCTACAGCTGGCATTCACATTGTTTGGTAAGTAATATATTGATACTACAAGATTCCCTGCACCGTCGAAGATATTTATTCTAGAATTTCTATACACGTTCTCTAAAATAGATGTGAAAGACCTTAATGGCAAGTCTTCCATTACTAATGCAACCCAAAGTTAAAATAGTTCCCATAATTGATCTACTGCTAGCTCAGAAACGTACTTGTTTGTTCTATTAAATGTTGTTGCTTGTAATGGAAAATCCAAATTCTCGTAAATGCGACTTAGAAGAAGCCTGGCATCCGTCGAGAGTCATCGCCTCTGCAAACAAACGTAACAGTGTGGCGGGGGGGCAATGTTGCTCCTAAATGTGAGCAACCAGGTTTTGATCCACGTTAGAGATAGAAATGTGACCTAAGCAATTTGAAAACTGAAATCTCTCCTGGCCATTTGTGAGGCAAGGCTAAATGAAATTCAATGATATTGTGAGGTCATCTAATATTTAATTGTGGGCCACTTGACTATCTAGTCTTTCATCACTTAAATTGATCAGAGGTGACTATAGTTATGCTTCATATTTGCATTAATGCAAGCAAAACTTACTTCACTCCAGAACATCTTCTTTCACGATCCTTTCGAGGGCAAAATGGAGTAAAATAACTACCACTGATTCCTGCTCTAGATGCTCTGAATTCAAATTAATTTTAAACTTTTACTATTTATTTTGCTGAGCTGTCTTACGTTTATT